CATCAATATTTGTATATCTGTAGACAATGAACAACAATCCTGTTATCAGGGTTACGTCAAGAGCATGTAAGTGTTTCATCAAAATGATAACATGATTATATATATATATATATATATATATATATGACACAAATACGCCATTTGCATCGTTTTGTATATTTGTTTGGACGGCTCTTTCAGAAGCACTCTATTGCTGAATCAATATTATGCTTCGATGGGTTTTGTAAGTGGCTTAGTTGCAACCCATCGCAACAAGCGTGATTTATGCATCTTTGTACAATATTTTACAATGACTTGACAACATTTACCTGGAAGCACACGACTGATTTCGCGATTCTTGCAGTTTGTCAGGTATGCGCGTCCGATAATTTTTTGATAGTTACTTCATATATATATAATCTGTTATTTTAGCAATAATTAAATTAGTTAATTACGTGACACGTGCATCTAATTTTGATTCCTTTTCTCTCTATCCCCTGAGCTCATGCTTAAATCTTGGATAGCCCTTACACAATTACTCTACTGTAGACTTTCTAGAATGTAAACGTTAGCTAACAAACCTAAAGATATCAGTGAATGCTAGTCACTAAATTTAAAAATACACAGACAAAAATGGATAATAACAGTTAAATTGGCTACTTATTTTCTCTTTCTTCTGATGCCCTTAGCTAAGTTCAAGCACAGTCTCCATTACATTATTCAAAATGACAGAATGTTTCGAAATAAAACAGCTGAGTTCGTCAATTCAATTCCGAGCGGAGCTTATTTTTCTCTTTATTTGAGACGCCACGATGTTAATACCAAACCAAATGTTTAGTTTTACATTACTTGTTGTACAGTTCCACAAGGCAGTGCTTAGATGAGGATACTTATTTATTACGGACTACAGTTAGGATATTGTTGTGTTCCAAATTAAGTAGACAAATGAGCACACAACCAATCGATCGATCAATCAATCTGGCTATAGCCATGTATAGCAAACGTATCATTCAGTTGTAGACCACAACAGATATCAATAATTTGGCCGTATAAAGAACAGGATATTGAACATGTTATCAACCTTCCCGGCAGTATACAGGGTAATGAATGTAACAGTCCGTATTTATTATTTTGAACACAGCAATTTGCTCTAAGAGGTCTTGTTCATTATTAACCGTTGAAAAAACGTCATCCGCATTATTTTGCTACTATTCATAAATGTGAGTGATAGCTCACAAAAATAGTACATTTTTACTGAGTTGAGTAGCATCATGGATACTTTTAAAACTTCTATTCCACCTGGTGAACTTTATTTCACGGGTAATGAGACCGGAAGAGTTTTTGGTGGAACATGCTCTATGGGGAAGTTGATCAGAGGCCACAATATGTGGCACCGCTGGAGAAGACCACTCGCGATGAAGGATGACCACATGTTCTAATCCAACTCGACGTGCACTGACTGATACAGCATTTTGAGAATGGAAGCGTACTCTACGGGAACTTGGTGCCTCATTAGGCAGTTCCATAACATAGACATCGAAACCTGTTCCGATGTCAAGACGAACTATGCTGATTGACCTTTATCACGAGTGTCGATGTTCAAGTATCTGACAGAGTAGGGATATTTGGATCAAGATAACTGCCGCCGTCACTAAACGCGGTTTGCTGATTTGGGGTTAGCTATTCCCGTATTTTAAGTAACCTGTAGATTTCCGAATAATAGGCGCTAATGTAACCTATCATACAACCCTGTGCTTTTTACAGTCGCTTCATGAGCTCTTTTGCAGCTTTTGATGAATTATCTCTGAAGGAAACTTTGTTTTTTGTGTCACAAGTTTCGGGGAATAACGCTTGCGGCCTAGGAGTTTGCTCGTTTCGAGAGGAAAGAACATTCCAAAAATAAATCAATATGTAAAACTTTGGAGGAGTTGAAAAACAGCTAAGATTACACACACTCACACACATGGTAATTGGTGTTACGCTTTTGGATTATGCCAACAAATGTGACTGAGTAAATGTGCGTTTGACGATGCTAAGTCTTCGATAAAATTGGATTCCCGAAAGCCAGAGTTCACAATAGGTAGTGAAATGACAGAAATACATTTATAGATAAAATAAACTATAACCAATGGCGAACTGAAACACGGCCCATAGTTTGGCAATCTGAAACTAGGGTTCTTGTAAATTGCTGATAGTATTTTTGTTGTTTGCTGGTTTCACGAATTTCGACAGACAGACCGTTATAAATCACACTCTCAGGTTTGGTGGTTAAACAGAATGTAATCAAGTATTTGCTTTATGCACCCCGAAAGGTGAATATTCCGTAGCCAAATAGTCACCCAACTAAATGTCCAAGCAAAATTACACCCGAATTGTGGTGAGCAAGGAGAAAAGAAAACAATTTATGATATGAGCGAGTTCAGTTCCGAAGCGATGCGTTCTGGGTTAACAAGAGATCGGGTAAGATAAGGCACCACAGAAGACCGATAGGCGGTCGTGCGAGCAAGCATGGTTTTGTATGTTGTAAAATGATGAAGTGACAGAGAGTTTCACGGGAAATCCCGCTACTTCTTGGTAATTGTGTTAAGGATCTGGAAGGCAATTTAAAGTCCTTGAGCTTCCCTGGGAAGAATACAGGAGACCCGCACAGCCATAGGAGAAAATACCAGCAAAAATAATTCACTTAATCAAGAAGCGAGGGACGAATAGTGCTTTCAGGCATAGGACATAAAATGATAACTTCATAACCTTTCAAAATACAGGCACCGGGGTGATGAAGAGAGATTGGCAACATTCAGGTCTAATTCCATTTTCTAAGCACTGGTTAATCAGAGCTGGTGAAAGTGTGCAAGCGCA